TACATATAAAGTCTATTGTTGACAAATTTTGAACTTTACTGTATGCTTAACTTGTAAATCCGATATACATCACTACATTTTGATGCAATGTTGATTTACTATTCATGGTAACTTTTAGGTGCCCTTTACGCGTGTAAATTTTTTAATCGTGTTTTTGTAAAATTGCTATTTCATTCTTAGAAGTCACTATATATCATTTTAACTTGAATCAAAATTAATTTGGGCAATGAGAAAACTTCTTAAGGTAGTTTATTCTAAAATTGATTTTAGGATAATTTTTCTAAAATTGAGAAAATAAGTTCTTAAAACGACCTGAAATGATCGTTTTTATTTTTTTTTTTTTTGGTGAATTTTCTTTAGATACTTTTGAGCAACTAGAGTGTTGCAGCAGCGAACTCGCATATTCTGAAAACATTTTTTTAAATATTGAAACTATGAATTTATCAATTTTGGGCGCCGAATGAAGATAAAAAGCATCTATTTCGTTTTGTGACAACACTGCTCGCAGATGTAGCTCACTTTAGGACTAATATTCATTTTAGCATTACATTGAAATGTGTTCAAAAATAATTTTCTTCCCATAAAATGGATATTCGATCAACTTATTCTTATGTGATAGAGAGCGTCACCTTGAAGTTCTTTTAGGGGGGGGGGGGGGGGGGGGNAATTGATCTATAAATCATACACATAATTAATAGTTATTTGAAGAATATTCAGTTAAATTTTCAGCCCAAAATACTGAAAAATAAGCTGGCTACAGCAAATTTTCACATGCAACGTAAAAAAAATCCGGTGGACACTATCACTCAAAATCTTCTCGACCGATCCACTTCATATTTTATACACTATTTAAGTAGATGATATATGAGGTAATGACGTCGAGATATTTTAACTTTTTGCATTTTTAAATGCTTTTTACGAACAAGTACAATGAATTTTTGCCTTCATTTTGTCAAAAAAGTTATTTTTTTCACTTCAAAATAATGCCAAAAACTCAAAAATCATTTTAAACGAAATATCTCGACGTCATTACCTCATAATTTATGTAGATAAATAGTGAGAAAAATTTGGAAAGAATCGGTCGAGTAGATTTTCAGTTACAGTGTCCACCGATCGATCTTTTTTTCAGTTTTGCGAGAAAATTGGCTGTAGTTAGCTTATTTTTCACTATTTTCAGCTGAAAATTTAACTTCGAAAACCATCGAACAAGACCCTACCCCCCCCCCCCCCCCCCNCCCCCCCCCCCCCCTAAGTCAGATGTTACTTTTCTGTCCATCACTTTTATATATGTGATAGGAGGTTATCTAAAAGCTACATCTTTATATCGACCATCCCTACGAAGACAATCACTCATGCGAATGAGGTCAAAAAAATCTCTCTTTCAAAGAAGCGGTCAAGAAAATCACTCTAAAAAATCTACGATCAAGAAAATCTTTTCAAAAAAATAAAAAAAAACTAAAAAAAAATCAAAAAAATTCAAAAAAAATAAATTTTTGGAGAGATTTTCTTGACCTCATCTTCGAAAGAGAGTTTTTTTCTCCACAAGTTTTCAGGAGAGATTTTTTTGATCGCACTTCACTGGAACGGTGATACTCTTCGTAGGGATGGTCGATATCATTCGCACAGTTTTATTGGTTGAAATTAATATTGATTCATTTATTTATTAAAATTTTCATTGCATTAAAAAAATGTGTTATTTTCTAATCCTTTAAAGATTTTGCAGTGTCTAGTACAGCAATCAAATATCAATATAAAGAATTTTCTTTCTATGCATCAAATTAGAACAATACATTCAAAAATTCAAAATATCAATAAAAAATGGTGAGTTTATTTAAAATAGAAAGTAATAGTAATAAATAAATAAAAAATAGTGGGTTAGGAAGAGTCAGATGTACGGCAACTAAGTCGAAAATTTACGATGAACCGTAAATCCATTTAGTCTCGTCTGAAAAAGAGTGAGAGAAAGAGAAGAGGTAAAGAGCGACTTGTCACTATATAGCAATAGTTGTTCTGCAAGGAACAGAGTAAGAGAAAGGGAGAAAAGAGAGAAGAGATGTGCCCGAGACAGAGAAAGCAGAGCAAGGCATGGCAGCGGGAGCCATAGCTCTCTTCAAACGCACATAAAGAACAACGAAACGCCCGGACGTGTCCAAGACGGACGGCGCTTACGCGGATGCTGATTGTGGCGCGGGAGGACGACAGCCCGGCGGCGCACCCGAGACAGCCATCTTCTGCGATGACTGTTACTACTCCCAGAACTTCTCTCGCTACTCGTGCTACTCAAAGCTTCTGGATAAATTTATATAACACAAAACCCTGATAAAATGCTAAATCTTTACTGACGAGCTTTTTTGAGTTTCAAATATTATTTTTTCATTGTTTAGTGAAAAGCCATCTGCAAGCATTCAACTGTTTAGCAACAATCATTCCGAAAACCGAAACGTCAGAATATTAAACACAAACAATGTAAAATGAAACAAAATTATTGTTTTCATATTCTATTGGGAAAATTTTTTATTCTTCTAGCTACTTTTACTTGCTACATTTAAAGTCCATCAAACATTAAAGTTGGTGCTTGTACGTTGATCAAAATAATACTTTTTTTAAAAAAACCATGCGCACGAGTAACACCGATTTAAACGAGCTTTTATGGTATAGTACATGGAAAACGGCTCGCTATTCTGAGATTTTAGATGTCAAGATCCCTAACCTCAAGAATTATACAGTCATCCGATTTTTTTTTAATACCGATTCTGAAGGAATTTTTGATTCTAAAAACTGAAAAAAATCAAAGATATACCTTTTGACATTCCGAAATGTCTTGAATTTTTCTGATTTTTTATATGACACCGTCAAACTTATTTCGATTGTGCTAGGTCTTCACCTGTTTTGTTCTCGTATTGATTATTTTTAAATTTTGTCGCATATCTTAATAAGGTACACACAAAAAAGAGATGTACCATTTTGTTCAACAATCCAAACTCTGCCTCGCCTGAAAAAATCAGACCGATTGGCGATAGGTACTTCCGGGTATATAGGATTCTACAGAAAATCTCTAAATTTGTAAAACACCTATTTTTTTAAAAAAGTCAGTACGAAATCCTGTATACCCAAAAGATCTTATTACCAATCGGCCTGATTTTTTCAGATTTATGTCCCAGAATCCAATGGTACTTTACTTTTTAGCGTGCGTACACGATGAAAGTAGTTACAAACAATATTAACCCGACCAGTTCGCATCTTGTTTGCACTCAATCTAATGCTAAATTTCATAAGATTTACTCATATGCAGTTCGCGAAGCGAATCTAATCAAGCATACCTCATATTGATACTATACTTTCACGATAATTTCATTCGTGAAACTATCTATCTAATCGAAACGGTTACTTTTTTCATTATAATCTTTGATATCAGGCAGTATTTTTATTCATGATAGTTACGTGAATGCACCCTCCGTAAACACTCAAGAGACCCACCACCTTCTTCTTTCTATTCCTATACAAGTTTTGACTATCGACATTTCAATGAGTTTTGATAACTGCAGTCGTGAAGTACATCTCATTAATAAAAAAGAAAAAAGCTTCCTCTATGAGGAAGCAAAATTCAGTGACTTAAAATCGATCGATCCTTTTCTCGAAAATCATAATAAATTAATCAGTGTCAAACCCAATTTGATATTTAGAGTCAAAACGATACTTGAGCTTAAAATTATATGAAAGAAAGTGTTGTTCTGTTAAGTTTACTCACGATGCTATATATGATGAATTCAATTTCATCGATTTTATGAAAATGTAATAATTTACGATCTAACGATGTATGCACACATTTTATTTGACAGTATGTTCGAGACTCGTTATCTTCGGGAAAGACGCTTGCATTTACTTGCTTAACGTATAGATAGTTGTACAAGTATTTTCTATATTATATGGTTGCTTGCAAATTTTAGTCGAAGCTGTGGTTGCATCACGATGTAAATTTAAATCAGTTAGTTAGGGATTTTAGAGTTTCAAAAGAAGTCAGCTCGATCAATATTGAAAATACAATAAATGAATAATATACACGAAAAAGTGATAACAGTTGATATCGAATATATTGTCTCGTTCAATTTTTCAATTAAAAATAATTAATTAGGTTTCTATAACTTCATTATTTATTAGCTAAGCTGATTTTTAGAAATGATTTACCCTTTTGTTTACAATTTTATAACTTCCGCTTATTATTAGTGTGACTATAGTCTGGAGAACATGACTTGATAAATATTTCTCTGTGGTGTTACAAAGAAAAATAATCTTGATAAAAGTTGAAAAAAATAGCTTCAAATCGTACTTCAAACTTCAAATATTAGTGGCTTGAACAACTAAACTTTGCTATTTTTATGCTGATCCAGTTAAAAAAAATCGTGTGGATTCTTTGGCTTCAACGAAGTACATAGACTCCACATGAAAAATGCTTACATTTCGTGTAGAATCAGCGTCGATGTATCCCATGAAAACTTAATTTTACGCTGCCTGCCTCAAAAATCTTATGCTCACTTTCATTGTCCATCTCGAAATCTACTCAATTTAATAAAATAAACCTCTAAAATTAACCTAAACTTTCAATTTCAATCATTTATTTTGAAAAATTATTTAAATTAAGCCCATTAGATGGGCTGATGAATTCCAATTTGATGGAATTTGTCATAGGAAACAAAAACTTAAAAAAGGAGATAAAATGAAGTACATTTTAAAGGATTCAGGAATTTTCAATAATATTTAAAAAAATTAAAAACAGTATTAGCGTTAGTTTATAACATATATATTTATTTGAGCTTTAATTGCATTTTAAAATACAACCAAAATAATGAAATAATGTTGAATCTGGTAAAATGTTTTTTAATTTTGGCGTATACAAGATGCATAATTTTGTATGTTGGTACGCTGATGTATGAGATTTTTTATTTTGTTTTAGATCATTTTATTAAATGGTGTACATATATGCGCTCGACTTTGTATTTTTTCGTATATTTTAACGCAATTCATTTTTTTCTTACGAAGTATTTTTTCGTATATCTTCGTATTAATTGTAATTATAATGATCGTAATAATATTCGCAAGCAATCATGGCATTCACACATTTACTCATTCAATCAATATACGGTGTGATGTTTACTTTGAAAAAAGCTCATCATCGTCTATATATACCTTCAGCAGTCGTATTTTATTACAACAATAGTATTATTATATCGATAAATAGTTTTTTAAATCCACGTTGGAAGAATTAGAGTTTACAAGAAATACGTATACAAGATGTGTCGCTTGTTTGTAAATATCTTTTCTCGATTAATTGCTACAATTTTTCGTGTAACAACCATAATCCACAATTAGTTGCTTTATTTTTTATTAAAATTTATTGATTTTTTTACTCATTTGAACCGGTTTGTATTGATGGCGTATTTTTCTACAATCCATCATACGAACTGCTAAAATAAATACATTGCAAACACATTTTTTCTAAACCACGTATACAAATTGTTTATTTTCACATTTTTTATTTTCACACACAATCGCAAACAGAGATTTTATCACTATATCTCTCTTCCATACTTACGAATTTACACATTATGCACACATATTCAGTCGCACTTTTCATTTAAATATGCTCTCTATTTCGCTCCATCATAAATAACATACTATAATTTAATTAAGTCAATTTTTATCATAATAAATATACACAGTATATATCGCGATAATTTGAATGATAATTAATGATTAGTATTTTACACGCTTGAAATGCGACAACGACGCTTAGTTTATTCGGGCGCAATCGTAAATACATACGTATTTATAGTTTTAAAAACGAAGAAAAATTTACAATGGTCTATTTCTCTCTTAAGCGTAGTGTTTAAAACACGCCTCTTTTAAGTTTTACTCGAATTTTTAGTATACCTCATTAGTTCGCCTTTAATACTGGCTCGTACGTAATCGAACACATCAATGCACGTTCGCTGGTACGCGCTGCACTCAATCTGCATAAAGTCTTTCGACTCTGTGATAAAAGTCGCTTATCAAATCCTAACTCTAAATTTATATAATTTATTATATTCACTTCTTCATTTATAATATATAATATGAGGAAAGTCGATATTGCACCGCGCGTGTCGTGTGCACCTCTGTACACGTTTATCTCTCGATCTCTATTCGCAGTCTCATTCTCGTGTATTTTTTCTGTTTTTTTTTTCACTTTTATTAGTGATTTTTGTTAAAACGTGTCTTGGTGACACAACATATGTGACGCAAGATCTGCAACGGATGACCAATCACGTCGGATCATTATTATTATCAACAAAGAGATTCCTACACAATGTCGAGTCTAAACTATATTTTAACTACAAATATATCGTCTTACTTGCTAAAGGTATACATGTGCTCACGGTCGCAACAAATTATGCAGGTGATGTGCGAGTCTTTGAAGAGATTTGAAATTAAATAAAATAAAAAGTAGACAATGGTGTCTATGACAAGTCAATGAGCATTAACTTTATCACGTCATAAATTTTCATTTTTTTAATTAATCAAGTTTATAAACTGCATCTAATTATGCTATTAGAATATTCAAATCATTAGCAATCAAAGATTTTTATTTTACTTTTTCCTAATTTTCTTACAAATATAGTTTGTTATTATGATCAGTTCTATAAAATACGTATGATCATATTTTATTGTATTGTAACATAAAATGTTGATACACAAATCTGCATATGCAATCACCTGCATTAATTTTTTGCATTCACAACGTATCGCGAAGTAATTTTCGTAAGTATTTTATTTCATATATATTAAATATAATAAAATCACATACTAGGCCGCGCGCCGAGCCCCGTGACTCAGCGGTACTGCGAGATATGGTGGCATCACAATAAAATTCAATCTCGTTTTTCCAAGCTATTCTGCACTGTTTCCCTTTATTTCCTCGCTCTTTGAATTGCGAGTGTGCCATTTATAATTGAGCCGTTGCAATCGTCATTGCGTCAATGTCGTCCTTGTGTCATTTTCTTTCGTTTGTTTTTTCCAATAAAATCTTAGTATTATTTTTTATTCAGTATATCACGATTTTTGATTATTCGATACTGCATTCACAATAGATCATTTTTACATACCAATAAAGTAAGTATATAAATATGCACGTATTGCACATACTAGACTTATTAAACTTTAAATTATTAGCTTTGTAAACGCTTTGGATGAGCCAAATATTAAAGGATTATGGACAAATACTAACAATTGAATTGACCCAAGAATGACAAAATGCAAACTATGTTTCATGAATATAAAAAATGGGACCTAATTGCAATAAACATTCATTTAAAAATTATTATTAAGAATAATATAGATTTTTAAATGAATGTATTATTAGATCATCAAAGCTTTCATAGAGTGACAAAAGAGTTTGGCAAAATAGAACTAAACTTTTTTATTTCTTCTAATATACTTATATTTGTGTATATAAACGTTAATAAAAACTTTGAGTATATTTGAAAACATATAAAAAGTAAAGGGAAATATTTATAATAAAGGTTATCGATGCTGAGATCCCATGTTTGCATAATCACGAAAGTTGGCACAATATCCGCGGATAACGTAATGATTTACCCTAAAAGTAAGTAGGTGATGCATCACGTGGAACGAGCTTTGATTACAATATAGATACATTTATGTACAAGTGGCACCGCTACTTACGGGACTCGGACTATACGTATTTGCTAGACAATTGCTTAGCCAGCTCCGTATACTTGAGAAATTTCGAGTGTGGACTCTCTTCGAGGGGTGAGCTCGCAGGTTGCGAAGGACTACCGTTTGCCTGGAGGATCGGAGGTGACCTATTGCGCTGAGAGATTGGCGGCGATGAGGAACTATGAGAAGAACCTGCCGGTGTCTGGCCTCCATTGCCAGACGTCGTTGTTACAGAGCGCCCAGGATTGGGCCCATCAGGCAAAACACCGTCTTTCACAAAGTGCACTTTCGACAAGTGGTGCCTGTAGGCTCCTTTAGTGTGAACGTACGTATCGCAGAAGGCGCACTTCATGGCAGAATCTGGTGTTACGACCGCATCGTTACAAGCCCAACTGAAAGCCAGAATGGCACCAGGCGTAGTACTGCTCGTTGCTCCAGCAGCACTCGAACTTGAACTACCACACGAACCCATGACTGCGCTCGATGCTGATGCTGCTCGACTACCTCCGCTGGATCCTCTGGTTTCAGTTTTGTCACAAAGTTTCTGAAGCGCTGCCAAAGGATGACTGCTGGTTTTGCGCCCTTGACCATCAGCGTTATGAGATGTACCTCCACTGCCTCCAGACAAATTGTCAAACATAGAAGACAGCGCACCCAAACTACTGGCAACTTTGTTGTCCGGCGTTCCTCGCGGTGTGACCGATCTATCGCTACTCGCAGGGCTACTCGTACTATTACGACATGGACTGCGAGCCAATTGCTCAGCTGGATTTAGAGGTCTCGGTGTGGGTGGATTCATGGGCGGCGAAAGTACATCTTTACGTTCTTCTGACGGCTCTCGAATCTGACTGCTGCTATTACGTCTGTGATTAAAAGATTCGACATCCTCTTCATCTTTGTTATCTTCAGCAGCCTCTTTTTTTACAACTACGCTACGAGGACTTTCTGATTGCCGTTCACTTTCGTTTATTGCAAGTGTTTCTGAATCTTCATCTTTTGGCTCCTTTTTTACGACAATAGAACCTTCATCTTCAGACTCTTCATTAGTTGTCGGCGGATGCCGAGCCGGTAGTGGCGCAACTTGTTTGTCTGGCGTCGCTCGAGTAGGTCGGGAATGTGATGACGAAGTCGACAGCCTATCTTGTGTACTAGCCGAAAGATCTATTCGTCTTTCTGGCGTCATGGTATCTGTTCTTCCGCTACCACGCTCCGATATCGAGCTAGACTCGCTGCCACTCCGTTCTCTTCGAGCTGCCGCTGCCGCTGCCGCCGCTGCTGCTGCTGCATTGAGTTGTTGATGTTGATATGAGCGTAAAAAATTCATAGTTTGAGGATCGACGAGTGGCTTGGTGTAGTCGATACTTTCATCGATTCCCAAACGCTTCAAAATGCTAGAACCCATTTGGGTTCCAGGTTGTGCATGATGCATACCTGCCGCTCCATGGCGCATTCTTGAGTCGAAACTTTTCTCTATAAGTTTTTCTATGGCATTTAAAACGGATGGAGAAGAAGTGGTGGCACCGGCATTAGTTTCGTTGGACACGGACGTTGGCGTCACTTTTCCAGGCGTAGTTGCATCGCTTGCCGAAGATGGAGATCGGTGATGTCTTGATGTTTCTTCATTAACACTTTTACGCCCTGATTCGCTGGGTGGCAATGTTGATGGTAAATGATTTGACATCAAAGCATTTTTCAGAAAATTCCTTTGACTAACCCCAAGTGTTCCTGAACCAACGCACATTCGGATATGTTCGACAAAATGAGGCGTGTCGATCTTCTCGCCACATTTTTCACAAGTTATTCTCGAAACTTGTTTTCCGTAAGAATGGCCTGCGCTAGCTCCTGAAGCGTCACCATTTTTGAATTCATTTTGGGCTCTTTCTAGTTCAAGAAGTTTTCTAACTGGTAACGATTTCTTTCTCTTTTCTCGCGTCTGGCGCCTACGACCGCCGCTTTCTGTGAGTGAACGCATAATATGTTCCTTGTAATGACTGTTTTTAACCATATGATTACTAAGTTCTTTTAACGAGCTAAAAGCCTGGTCACAGACTTTGCAAGTCAAAACAGCACTTACGTGGCTGCTAGTAGCTCCAGCGCCTGGTCCGGTACTACCATGAGATCCAGAACTACCACCAGGTGGCGCTCGATCACTACCACCCCCTCCGCCGCTTCCACCACCAGACGTACCTCCGGAATTTCCACCTCCACTACTCCCGCCACCTTTGTGTTCATCGGATGATTTCCAAGATATGATCTGCTCCTGTGAAATGATGTTGGTGTAATGTTGTGTTTCTTGCATGTGCGAAGTCATTTCAGCCAGAGAGCGGAAACTTTGGCCGCACCACATGCATTTGAGAATTTGTCGAGTTTGCTCAGCGCCTTTACCTAACCAAACGTCCTGTCCGCGAACTAATTTCCTCGGCAGGGGCATTGTTTCTTTGATCAAAAGATTTAACTCTGATGGATTCTGTTTACTATTTAAAGAAGAATTACTGGATGACGAAACTGGAGGTGGCTGAGGTGGTGTTTGCTGTACACTCGTTTGGGACGAATGCCCCGGAGTTACAGGCATGTTTACTCCGCAATGTTTGGCCTCTTTCATATGAGTTGTCATAGCAGCTAAAGTTGGGAAACTTTGTTTGCACCAGACGCACTTTAGTACATCTTTGGCTTGATCAGCACCCTTATTTAGCCAATGAGATTGCCACGCACTGTGACGATTGCCTGTTGTACCAGATGTTGAACTTGAATTCGGTGTGTTACCAGTACCTGTGCGGAATAAATCTTCACCTCCTAATTTACTGAGTTCGCTCATCTTTTCTAAAGCTTTTGCAGCTTCGCTTGGTTGATAGTTTTTAGACTCTGCGCTCGAAGACTTGATTTTACCGTTCCATATCTGATGAGGATCTACTGCACTCGTACTTGCGCCCTTAGGTGATAATTGTTGCTGACTAGTTGCGGCCGCAACGGCTGCGGCAAAGTAGGGGAAATGTGATGCGACAACTGGAGAATTCCAAGATGAAGCAACCTGGCGAGCATAAGCGGCATTATCCTGATGTGCGGGTATTGGGATAGCTGCTGAAACTCGTGAAGATTTTCGAGGAGGTGGTGGTGATTCTTCGGGTACTGGTCGCTTTCGACTCGAAACCGAAAGATCTAGAGGCCCGTTAACTGATTCGGAAGACGACGGTGTTGGTGGTTTACTTAAATTGAGTATTTGCTCATCTTCGTCATTTTCAGTGTTTGACGATGCTTTCCGAGTGCTAAAATCTAATACCGCGGGTATTTGAGTTGTAGCACCTGGTGAGACATCACTAGTGGCAGGTGAAATGTGCAGACCAGTCGCAGCTGCAGGTGGAGAACTTGAGGATGAGACCATTGGCGATACAGAATTTCGCGATAAAGGAGAGTGACCGAGCATAAGTCGCTGATGTGTCTGTTGAAGATAGGCAGCCATCATAGCTGCCGATTGTGGAGGAAGCAATGGATGAACGCCTAAAGGTAAAGCAGATGGCAATATGTTAGCGGGAGGGCTGACCGGGCTCGAGCTACTTCGAGTTGTCGTTGGTGGTGGACTGCCATTCGCTGGCCCGGACGATTCCCGCGAGTCCCTTGATGGACACCGCGGGCTCATTGGTTCTCTGAAACAAACCAAGTCATAAACATTATATAAAACGTATTCGATGCTACGATGTTTTAAGATTTAATGTATAATAAAAAAAATATTTCGAAAAATTATATCCACGCTGGTGCTAACATCTTTCAACGGATTTTGTAAATAAAAAACTAATAACTGCGAGTTTGTAACGACTGAATATTTTAAAAATGTAAAATTAATATTGAATTCGTATGTCTATTGAATATTTATAAATAAAAAAAAATTAAGGTTTATTGGTGAATAGAAGAAAATTACTGGAAAAAATTTAACATTCAGCAAAAAGAAGATCAGGTATTTTTGAATTAAGGGGACACACCTGTGTTTATGCATATAAATGAAAAACATGAAAATTAAAAAAGAATTTTATTACAAAACTTTTGAGACCCCGAGGATCAGGATTGGTGAAAAATTGCATTTAAAATCATGCGGTCAATGACTTAGACATCACAAGTCAATATACATGAATGATGGATGGTTTTTAATAATAAGAGGAACTAGTAATAAAATATTTTTTGTTACAAAAGGACCTATAAAAACATGTATTTACATCAGAAACAAAAAATTTTAATAGTAATCCTTAATTTTCATGTTTTTCATTAATAGGCATAAACACAGGTGTGTCCCCTTAAGTGAAAAAGGGAGGAAGTATGTTTGAAATCTAGTAGTTAGCTAACTTTGTCAACAAACGCAGCAAAGATGTTATGTGGATTGCGAGTCCCGAAGACACGTGCATGAGATGTTAAAGAAAATCCAGCGTGGGCAAAAGAATAATGCGACGTAAAGGAGAGTGAGCGAAAAGCTTACGAGTAGTGGCGCTTGAAACTGCTATTTAAAGGGCAGACCGGTTCGAGCTTAGTTTTTGTCGCTTGGATAGCGTAGGCGCTGCTACTCCCAGCCTGTCGACGGCTCGTTCGTAACTGACTGAATGCAGCGCGCCAACCTCTGATGCGAACTCGAAGAACTGAGTGCGTGCGCGTCGCGCGCGAGAGAGAGAGAGAAAGAGAGAGAGAGCTAAAAGGGGGGAAGCAAACACCGACAAAATACACGCAAGGGGAAGTTTTTGGACACTCCTGGGTGGGGATCAGGAGTATATACACCAACTATGCAATTCGTGCGAGGGCGTATGTGCATTAATGCCACACAGCAGAATATTACACATATAATTGTGAGAAGATCTCTATGCAATTGTGCTTTGCAACTAGTGAATATATATTTACGCACATTTCAGGGTGCAGTTACAGAGAAGAAATAAATATTATTTATTAGCAATCATCAGAAGCTTCGTCGACTACGGAAAGTTATCATGTAATATTTTAATGTTTAAAAATTTGATAATTTAAATTTGATTAGCTGTGCATTTATCTAACAATTATTATAATTTTAGATAAGGCAACATCGTGGTTTTTATCATATTTTTATAAAAAATCGTTTAGTTTCAAAAAATCAAATTTTAAACACATGATAAAAATATTAATCATCAGTCTCAAATAATAATGTAATTTGTCAAAGTGGAATTGGGTAGGAAAAATTGAAAATCACAATTAATATAATCTTATTTTGTTGTAAATTTAAGACAGTAAGATTTCAATCAATAAAGATCGACTTCGGTGGATAATCAAATTATAAATATTTACTTACCGATCTGGTGGTCCAGTATCTCTATTTGCAACTGGGTTGAGTTTTGAGCCAGTGGGTGATGCAACACTCACTCGTTGAGATGGATCTTCCTCGTCATCATCTTCGCTACGGACTTCAATTCCGTCTTCGTTTTCTTTGGCTGTCTGATCACCACTGTTGCAATTCGTCTCAGGCGGGCTAGTGGGACCATCCTCATCTACGCAGTCACTCTCATCAGCCCCTTGCAGCTCAGCACCAGGCTCCGTATTTTCGGCGCCGTCCTCCCCTGAAACATTAAGATAGTTGCATCTACATTATTTCATGCCGTTTAGTGAGTTTTATGATTGCAAATATACAGATATTGAATTATGGTTATAGGTAAAATTGACAATACCAGGTATAACAAAATTCATGAATGTACAGTTGCGAGCACAATTTAAGCTGTCGCTCGCAAAATGAGAAACAAATTTCAATGTACGTGTTGTTTCGTGATGCAGATGGCAAAGAACAAGTCAAACGAGAGGGAGGGAGAGAGAAAGATGACAATAGCACCTATCGCTTCATTAATCAGCTTTTGCCAGAATTCAGGTGCAGCTCTTTCTCTCACCTAGCTCTCTTTCATTATACGCCGGTAGCAAGATGATTCCTTTTGGCGTCAAGTGCGAGGTATTATGAAATCAAATCATTTCAATTTAGCGAGAGCTACGTATCTCACCGCTGTCATGCTACTCGAGCTTTTCATCGAGAAACTCTTTTCGCGTTAACCTGCATGCATATACTCATAGGAGAGAGCGCGAGAAACGCGATGACAGACCGCATCCTCGTGAGAGTAATGGCGCGTTCCCGCATTTTGTCACGCTGCTTTCTCGCGCGATTTCATCAGTAACTCTCGAAGAGCTCGCGCACAATTCAGTCTTTCGTGCCCACTGTTCCCTCTTGCAGATTCTATCGCTTCACTCTCTTCGTATCTTATTCTTCTCCTACTGCTGCTACTTATACTACTATTATTATTATTACTACTTTTACTACCACTACCACTACCATTTCTACTACCACTATCACTTGTACGCTTCTCTTAACCACAAAGCCACGTCTAACCAAGTGGTTCTTTTTTTGTTCACTGTATTTATAATAGTTTTAACTGCGAGTGAGAGTTCATTGATATGTACAAACACAAAAGGGTATGTGTTTATTTAGCTAAAATAATCTCGTTAACGTAAGCGTTTTATCGTACTTTACCCTTGGTTCGATGGTATATCATTAATTCGTGTTACCGCTGTTCATGTCTATATTACACTACCGCGACAATAACTATATACAGTGAAACATTGCAACCTTTTCACAATCATACCATTATTTTTCACCAATTAATAAAGAATATTTACATTTAAGTCATTTTACAAAAAATGATTTTCATTAAGGTTGAGGATAAAGAGACTATCCTACATATCAGTTGCTAAGAATTACGTTATAAATATTTTGGTGAAAAAATCTTCAATACATAGCTCGATAAACTGTAACATCAATAACAGCGGCAGCTGTCGTACTAACAGCGCAAATTAACAGAGTTTCTCGTTTTTTTTTATCATTTCGATCTTTTGTGTGTTTATTTTTTCAATGTGCAATTCTCTGCATCTCTGATCATGGAGCTTGCGAGCAGTATGATTAACTTTCCACTATACCTTGTTGTCTTCTTAAACTCGAGCAGCCTCTGTACTATAGGGTTATACTAAGTATATCGAGAGAAGGTCAAAAGATGCAATAAGTAAGTTGAGAAAAAAAGGCCCTTAGTTCAAGTGGATGAAAAAAAAGTTTACGCAAGCAAACACGCGGCGACGCCATCTTATAGCTTTTACAGATGAAGGGAGTGTCACAAGAGAGAAAGAGAGAGAGAGAGAGAGAGAGAGAGAGAGAAATGAGGGGGGAAAGGTAGAACATGTATGCATGCAATGCAATAGATCGTAAGAAAAAAAAGAGAGAGTAAGAGTAGTAGCAGGTAGGGGTTGTCCTACGTTTACCGACTGACCAACCAAAGAATCGTTTGTTGAATTTTAAAATTTTCACGATACAGGTCCCGTGGCTCAAAGATCGAGTGTGTAGCAAGTCGCACTGCAGTGGCAGCACGAGCTCAGTGTGGAGGGGCAAATACTGCACAGGGGAGAGAAAGGAGATCGCACATTGATCCACGGGACCATCGGCAACTAATTACGCAGATTTATGTCCCCATTGTCCATTGTCTTGCTACAGACGAGTTGGACGACCGAGTGCACTCACGGCTCTGTGTGTATGTGTGTGTGTGTGTGTGTATATGGGCATTTGTGTGTGCACTCTCACACTTGCACAACAAGTATGCTTATTTATACAGTTGAACGCAAAATAGAGAAAAAGAGATAAGCACGAGAGGTAGCTAGAGTGACGACAACTACGTCGACAACAGGAACTGTTCAATTCGCTCGCCAAAGACACTGGTTGCTTCGAATTTTTTGCCTTTGCAAAATATTTGTCTTCGGCAGATAAGGAACGCAGGATTCGTAGATGCAATAATATGCACGTGAGGATGCAAAGTAGCAGCTTAGCAAAGCTCCACCCGTTGCTACTGTTTATAAGAGAATTCAATTGGCTACAGGCAGCATGTAGCTATTTGCGTACTAGGGATATTCTTTCTATTTCTCCTGCACGTGCACTTAAAAAAAAACCAATGTGCAAATTTGTGCCCTAGTAAGCTATTCCTTCTTACATGAAGACATTATTCATTATTGGCCTAATCGAAGAATACGAACGAGTTTATTTTTTAACTCTAATGATAAATTCACTATTTGAAAAGGTTTACAAGTTAAGATTGAGATTTTTGACTTCAAATCCTTGTCAAATTTTACATGAAAAATCATAATTCAAATATTTTTTCATTGTGACTTTTTTCGATTCGATAATTTTACACTTATACATTTTTGAGAGATTGAAATTTTAAAAGAATTGTGATGTTGGGTATAAGCTAGATGTTTGTGAAAAAATTCACCAGCTGAACGAAAGTTTTTCGTTTTTGCGAGTCTTCAAATACCTTCAGTACAGAAGAGAACGACCCCTGGCCCGTGCGTGTGTGCACATTTTATTGTATTGGCAGGCCACTGCACTAACGAGATGTATTTGCCTACAACTCATGGGCTTGCTGCTCCTGTTGCCAAGGTAGTCTGCGACTTTTAAGATTTCTGGGTGGCGATATCCTCGCTTGCCTTCTGTCTCTTCTTTGCTCTGTTGTATATATGTGTACAATGCAGCCCAAGAGTTGGCCGATTTATTAGTTTGAGCTTGAAGCTCCAGTATATAAAGTACAAAATACACATATCTCTATAAGGCGCATGATTTTATTGTTTCAAATCATAAATCAATTGAACCTTGTGTGAAATTTTGGAAACATAAATTTTTGAAATGGAAGTTAGAACTTTAAATGTGACTAAGTAAATTCGTAATAAATTAAAGCGCAAATATTTACGCTGGATACGTTTAACTGAACTGATGAAATTTATTACTTCATGATAAATGACATCATTAAAAATTTTTTCGTTATCTTTTTAAAATCTTGTTTAAATCTTTCTAACGTTTGAGGAGAATATATACCTTAAATCAAGCCAAAGTTTTGTATGTGTAAACAGAAAAAATTAATTTATCATTTCTTAGACTAGTTTGCACATATGAAAAGATGTTTAATAAACATGTACGAATGATAATCGAAGAGAGTAAAGATATATATGAGTACACATTTTTCCCGATCTACAAGGATGCAGGTAAAGGGTACAATGTTGTCACGACGCAATTTTACGCGTAATTTCATTTGCAGTTTGCGCAGTATTACATGCAGGTGAATGGGAGGGTATCTCGATTGTTCATGTAAGTAAAGGGAGGAGAAACTGGCGAGATGAATTTCTAATGCTAGTCCGAGTGACGTTGAGCAAAAAGAGAAGAGAAATAGAGAGAGAAAGATAGAGAGAGTGAAGTCCTTAGCCAGAGGCTCTATCAGAGACTGTATATAATGTTCAGCATGTACGAGCTGAGAAGAAAGACGAGCTGGCTGGCTGGCTGACGAACGAACGGACGGACAGACAGACGAACGAGTGCGCGTGGATGCACTTATACATGCAACCGTACATGCTCACACTCTCTCACATACACACGTTCACATCCACGTGTAGTGTGCGGAGAAAAGCGAGGAGGTTGGCCAAGGGGGTAGGGATAGACTATACAAGTAGCATCTCTTCCTCGCAGCTCACAGTTCTCGTTGATGCCAGCCTGCAGAAGAGAGAAAGAGAGAGAGAGAGAGAGGTCCGAGTGACTGACGGCTGAATCCGACTCTTCTCCTCTTCCTTTCACTCCTTCTGCCTTGTACGCGCTACACTGACGCTACTCCTACGGTATATATGTATATAAATAAACGTGCAAAAGAGGAAGCTTCGTGTTCTTTGGATACGCGCACGGCGAAAGATGGACGACAAAAGTGTGGATTCTCGGCTGGTTGCTCTCTGCAAATTGGGACAGCGAATTGTTTGCTCCAAGAGAGCAGTCTTAGCGAAGAAAGATGCACGTCCTGCTCGTGCAAAATTTGCGCGAAACGGCAGCGCTGCAGTAGCGCTCCTAAAAAAGTTTATCGAGACACCAAAAAAGATGAATCAACTAAAAGAACCCACGTGACTGATCAGGCGGGATATCTTTTTACCGAGAATATAGACGTAATGCGTTTTGACAAGGGTACCCAAACTCGTTTTACACTTTGATGGTTTGAAAAATAAAGTCTGAAAAAAAATACACGTACGCACAGTGAACTTAATTTTTGGTTTTATACTCTAATTATATCATTTAATAAAGTAAGGTCTATTTCAGTTCCAGAGATCAAATCATTTAATAATTATACCCTTCTTATGGATACATTACGATATTTCTTGAAAAATTATTAAAATTTTGGTTTATGAAGTAATGTAAAAATTCTTTTTGATGTGAATTATAATTTTCATCATGGATGTTACTTTTTATGTCTGTAGAAAGGACGGTTCAATAAACAGGACCGATGATTATCCATTTGAGGTTGCCTATTTGCTATGAAGCATCTTGAGATTAAAATTGAGCCATCAGAGAGCTGAATTTTTGCTCAAATAAAAAGCAAGCATTCGACGAAACGGATTTGACACTTTATAACATGCTCAAACGAAAAAGAGCTGTTAAACTGTAACACGATATTTTCTTTTGCACAAACTGATCAGTAAAAAGAGCAAGAGTGTCGCTCTGAACATCCGTCAA